CTATTTGAGGATACAGAGATGAACAAGAGCAGACACCTTACTGTCATGCATCTGGCTTGCTGGAGGACAAGACTGTTCTCCTAAAGAATATGTACTTACGAACTGAAATAAGAGCTCCCAAAAGGTGGCCTGTGGTTCCTGGGATTATTGTGCGGAAGAATGTGCTCTGGCTGAGGAATCAGCAGAACTGGAGCTAGTAGGAGTTGACTCAGGGAAGAGGGTCAAGGGAAATAGACACAGTGGGGACAGAGATGACAGAAGCCTCTGGCAGTGTGGCATGGTGCGACTGCTTCCAGCACCTACCCTCCTACCCTCTTCTGTTCCTTACACGGAAAGACAGTGCTGGATCACTCTTGGGCTGTTAGTAATGTATTAAAACAGGCCTTGGGTATTGCCATCAGTGCCCGTCACATGTCAGAATAAAGGGTGAGCTACAGAAGTCAGTCTTACCTTCTAAGGGCTTAGGGTGAATAACCCAAAGAGTAACTAGAATGTGTAAAAGGATGAGTTATAAATGTAACAAATGCATAGGTAGAGAGTAGCCTTCCTTTCATGGGTATTCTTGAAGGCCTTATGACATCCTGGGAGATGAGGGTTTAGAGAGACTGACGAGGTCACTTATCTCCATGGGACCCATGGTTTTCTTTTTCTGACATCCACTTCTATTTGCTGACTCCATTGTGTTATTGTCCATGATTCTATTTCCTTGTTGGATTGATTCTATGCTCTTGTCACCTTCAGGACCTCCTTCCCTGGGACAGGAGAGAGATGTCTTTTTCCTGAGGAACTCAGCCAGTGCTAGAAGGAGTGGCTTCTGGCTGTGCTGTGGCTGCAGGCCCTGCCTTTACCCTCCAGTCCAGGTAGCCTGGATGGGTGCTAATAGAAGTCAACTTGCAGAACATTTCCCACCCACCACCCTCCCCTCAGGGCTCCTCCTCTCAGGCTTGGCGCCTGGTAGTCTTTCCGCTTTCCCTCTCCCCCTTATTTATATCTGACTGTGGGATAGTATGTTTGCAAGAGGGTTATACAATTGGTGAGCAAGTAATATTTTGTGGTTTTCATTGGCAAGACCCTTGAGCTGTCATTTCTACCCCTTCATTTACCTCTTTTAGTCTCACCACCACCTTCCTAGTCATTCTGAAGTCCCGAAATCTCAGAGTGGTGTTCCTAGCTTCCTGTTCTTTTTCTCACATCTAATGAGGTATCAGGCTCTGAAACCTTTGCCTTTTTTCTCTATGATTCTCACCCTACTTTAGGCCCCAATTTTTTGCCTTTTCATTTATTGCTTCTGTGAGTTGGGTTCAGTGCATTGTTCCCTGTCAGTAAAATGCAGATGGTGAGAGTACCTGTCTCCCAAGGCCGTTGGGGGAGTAAGCAGGATATACTACAGAGTGTACATAAAACAGTGCCCAGGACGTGGTTGGTCTGCCGAGGTGTTGCCCTCCTTCAGTCTTTGGCCAGAGATGCCACCCCTAGACACTCCTTTCACGTGGCCCCGCTCTTGCTCAGTCTCCACTCCCCTTATATCTAATCAGCATCAGTCGCTAAATGAGTGTGCAGGCTGGCTACCTGGGTATGGTAAGAGAGACTTATAGTTTATGTTTCTATTGCATTCTTTTAAATTTTCTGTTTTTTGAGTATATCTTATCCTGTATATTTCTGAGTGAGGGTAAATTTGTAAATAATGACTGATAGAAAAGAGGAGGCAGCCGAGTTTGTGGACCGTGTTGTGGAAGGTGAGATCCAGACCTCACGCCTGGCATCTCTTTTGGCTGCCCTACCCTGGCAACCCTGACCTCCCTGCCAGCCTCCCTCCTGTGACCCCCTTCACTCTCCTGCCCCACCGCATGCCTTTTGATTTCCATGTTATTGCTCGTCTTTTTCCCTGCCCCTACGATATCTCCCTCATTCTCCCATTTTCTTTTCTTACACAAAAGTTCACCTTAAATGCCACTTGTTCCATCAAGCCTGCCAGGACAATTCTAGCTTAAAATGCTGCCTCTAAACTCCCTAAATGTTCTTTGTTAGTACTGCTCATTTGGCCCCTGTTGTTTTCTATATTGCGTTGAGACTGGTTGCAATGTTATTTCTTTGTTCTGTAGTTATTCTGTTAATTCTTACATGGACCTGTCTTCAAATTATATTTCATTTGCTGACTTTAATTTGAGCTGTTTTGTCATTTCTCTCATTTATCATTTATCTAGAGACACATACCTATACTTTTTAGGTGACATTAATATATCTATTTTTTATCTCAGTAATATATAATTCTTTACTCTAAGGAAAAGATTCATTTGTGAAATTTATGATCTGAATCTCCTTGGATTTGACAGCATGCTTTAGCTCGAGGCAGACATTTATCTACGGTGCGTTAATGAACATTTTTTTAATGTGTAGATTCATTATTTTCTTTTACTCGGGATGACATAAAATCATAATCCGTGTGTTGAATGCCTTTATTTCAGCAGTGAGAGTCTGGAGTGCTGCACAGGCTCCTGGGGAGGTCATTCTAGTGAGGAAAGCTGGCGGGCAGACAGAGCAGATCCATTTAATCTGGTGCCTTGTCCTCAGATGCAAACATGGCTGTTTCATCCACCGAGTTTCGTCTGTTTGGGGGAACAGCTGTGCAGTCGTTACAGACACCATTGGACTTGGCGGCAGGAGACATACGTTTAAATCTTGATTCCGTCACCTGCTGGTTGTTTGAATTTGACTCAGTCATTTGACCTTTTAAGTCATTTAAGCTCATCTGCAGAGTAAGCTTAATAATCTCTATATCAGAGTTGTTATGAGAATTAATTGAGATATATTCTGTGAATGTGCTCGCTACCTGGGAGGTTGTTCATAAATGCCTATGTGAAGGAAAAGAGAAATAGGAATCTCCTTGATGGTTGCTGAGGCTTCTGAGGCAGTGCATGTTCTGGGGAGAAGCAGACAGATGGGTTCAGAGAGGGCACCAAACTTAGTCTTAAGACTGAAGGCTGAATGTGGAGTTGGCCTGGGTTTGAGGCTTGTCTCTACCAGATCGTCTGTGAGCTCCCGAGGGAGTATGAAGATTAATTACTTCATCTTTGTAAAGTGCTTTGAAGGTGAAAAGTGCCGCGTAAGTGGGATGGTTGACTTGCTATTGGAGATGTAATAATGGTGGCACCATATTCTGGCAGTCCTGCCTGTCTTGGACATCAGTAACAGGAAGTTTTAAGATATTTTGCTTGATGTGAAAGACAGGATCATTGGACAATTTGTGGAAGAAATTCTTTCTGTATTCTTGCAGATAACAGCTTTCTATTTCTAACCAGCTGAGGAATGTTAGGGATGTTTAAGAAGCCACAACCTCATCCTGTGGCTTCTTGGACATCTTCTGCTGGGGCTGTCTGGTTATAAATCCTGGCCAGCTTAGGTGGAAGAGCAGTTTGCCGGCTTTCAATGCTTTGAGGGTTCTGGCTAGGGACTTTTTTCAGTCTGATCCTGCATAAGTGAAGGGAGAATTTGAGTGTTGAGTGGCAGTTCAGTAGCTGATGAGTACAGTAACAAAGGGACTCACAGAAGGTGAGTTTTACCCTTTCTGGGGAGAGTTGGGGAATCAAGAAAGGTTTCAGAGAGCTAGTGGCACATGAGCTGGGCTCTAGGAGTTGAGCCATAGTTTACCAGGTGGGAAAGGGCACTATAGTGAAAGGAATAGTGTCTGCTGCTGTGTGGAATGGCACACCTGAATGGACCCACTCCCAGTTCCCCCGCCATACCAAGCTTCCTGTGGATTGCACAGGCTTTGTTCCCTCTTTGAGGAAGCCTCGAGGTCAGATGCTTGGTGTTTACCTCAGTGTCTGCAAACAAGTTGAGCTTGAGAACTGCATCCATGCCCAACCCTGTCTCCCTGTGATATTCTGACATTGCCCCCATGAGGGTAGCTGTTTTTAGCTGACACTATAAGCCGTGTGGGGCCAGATGAAGCTTTGATACCAAACACAGAGTATGTAGTAGATTTGTCTAGAATTTAATATGCATTACTTGGTGTTTTGTCTTTTAAGCGAAGTTTTTCTTTGTTAAAACAAACATGTATAAAGAATTTATACAGCGCACATGGTTATGCATATTTATTGCAGAGAATCTGTTAATAATCTATGCCTCATCGGATTTAGCATTTCTGTTGAAATAACAAATGCGGCACTTGGTACAACTGAGTGAGTTTGCTGAATTTTCTCTTATCTGGAGAAGAAAGTCTATGTCTCCTTTTTCAAACTTCATTTTCTTCTATGATCTTCACACTGGCCAGCTTCCCATGTGGTGCTGGGGAGCCAACTGCTTTTCTGGCTCCAAATGATTTTGTCCTTTTTTTTTCTTTCTCTCACTGCCTTTCTTCTAGTACACATCGATGCTTGCCTTGGGACTATTAGAATTGCTCCTCTGGGTAAGAGCACAGGCTGTGAGAGGTCCTCTTGTGTTACATAGAGGGGAATACATGAAGCCAGCTATTAATTAAGAATAAAGATCTAAAAGATTGAGGTATGGAGAACTTCAGTGAGAGTAAAGGGCCCCTCGGTGGGGGTGAGAGGTAAGAGAGCCTGAGAACAGGTATCTAGGCAAAGCACGAGGAGAGGGTGTGCAGTCGTAAGTGTGATTGAAGTTTATCTGTAGTAGTAAGCATATTTCTGGCTGTGTACAGGGCAAGAGCATATGCTTTAGAATCAACCTGTTTCGTTACTGCTCTGATACTTAGCACTTGTTTGGTCCTGGCAAATTGTGGTCTTGAGCAGGGCCAGGATGAATATTGCTTTTCTAGTTTACAGCTTTCTTGACCACTTGTTTGATCTCTGAACCTTGGTTCCATATCTTTAATAATGTGAATACCCGCTCCCTTCTTTACAAGAAGAAAAGAAGGCTCTTGGTACAGAGTAGTCAGTACTAAAGCAAATGCTCACATTTTCTCTAGTAATTCATTGCCTACCCATGAAAGTGCGGCTGTGGAATGTAGCCTTAACTCAAATAATGTTTATTTTTAGAAACTGGCAAGGTGTTTACTTGGGGCCGAGCAGACTACGGTCAACTAGGGAGGAAGATGGAGACTCAAGAAGGGTGGAAGCTAGAAAAGCAGGATTCATCCCGCCCCTGTGCAAGACCACGGAACAGCACACCTTCATCTCTGCCTTGCCTGATGGGAGCTGTGGAGGTAGGAGGTGACTTCTCACAGACGCAATGTGTCTCTTTCCCTTGTGTTCCAGGGGTGTGTTTAGCAAGGGTTGCTGTGTGCCAGGCTTGTCATTGGCTCCATGTAGGAATCCAGAAGGGTCTTTGTCCCTAAGGAGCTCATGGTTTAATATGGTAGAAAAATAATTTCTCCACTTACGCGAGAGACTGCACCATAAAGCAGACTGTGTTACTCCTTTTAGGTACAGAGTAGTGTTTTGGTTTCAATGGGAGGAGTGAGAAATGAATTTGGGGTACATGGGCCGGACTGGGCTTAGAGAATGACCTGGCTCTGCGCTGTGCTTTAGAGGATGAATCAGACTTGAGCAAGCCGTTGTAGGAGCTAAGGTGGCTTTTAGGTTGAACAGCTTGAGCAGTCACGGGAGTAGGAATGTGGAGATGTTTTGAGGACCACTGATGGCTAAATTTGACTAGAGCATGGGGCAGTTTTGAGATAATATTAGAAAGATGGGTTGGGATGGGATCAAGGGAGCCTTTAGTACTGAGCTAAGTGTTTTAAACTTCTGTTTATATTTCCCAGTGTAGAAAACATTGTAGTTCTGTTGCTTATTCAAGCCTCTCTGGTTCTGGTTCTCTGAATTGGCTTGAATTTCTGCATTTAAGGCAAGAGTCTTTAATTTCTCCATGTGTGTTGCTCTTACTAAATTTTACTTCACTCTCTTTTTAAAAAGAAAAGGTTAGGTTTTTGGAGAAGAATGGCCACACAGGAAATGTGCCTCTGCACCTTAATGAAGGAATTCAGTCTTCATTCAGAGTCTATCAAAAAAATTAATAAGCTAGTAAAACTTGTGTAATTAGCATCACACTAATTACAACCCTTTGCATACCTGGAGGGCTTCCCTCTCCGTACCTGGAGGGCTTTCCTTCCTCAGGGGTCTAGTGGTGTCCTCCTTCTGGGTATGTAGGTCAGTTTTCAATTTCTGCCTTGCATTCCAGCTCTGGTCCTTTGGGCCCTTTCTTAGTGCTAGGTTGGGTCTTTTTTTTTTTTTTTTTTCCTCTCTTTGCTTTTGATTGGACAGGTACTAAATAATTCCATAAAGACCATTTGTACTTGATGATAATTAATAATCACCATAGTTATACCACCTTAACATAACTGAATTCTTTTTTGCATATGCACATGTACATACTTCTGCAAGGTTGTGGTGATAGTGTTTATGATGTTTTGTATTCAGTCTTTGTTTATTTTATCACAAATGTTTTGTTGTGTTTCCTGTTTGTCTTTAAAATGATCGCTTAAAGTGGCTATGTAATAATATTACATGATTAGAAGGTTCTGGGATTTTCCAAACCATCCTTTAGATGTTGGGCATTTAGATAATTTCTTTTTCTTTTTTGTTTGTTTGTTTGTTTTTGGTTTTGGTTTTTCTCCGGTACCAGGAACCGAACTCAGGACCTTGCGCTTGCCAGGCAGGCGCTTTTGCCGCTGAACTAAATCCCCAGCCCCTCTTTTTCTTTTTATAAATTTATTAATCACTGTGTGAATTCTGCAGTGAATCCCTGTTAACTGTTTTCTTAGATCTTAGGGATGAAGATATAGGAGCAAAGGCTATGAACATCTTTATGACTTTTGCTGTATTTGTCTAGATTCTGACTCTCGACAGTAGTGAATTCCCCAATATATGGGGAATTGATATTTAAACTGGTGTTGTCTGCTTGTGACCTTAGGGACCAAGAACCTGGCACATAATGCCTTAGACCAGTGATGGTGAACCGTTTAGCGATTTCAGTGATACAAACAGTCCACTAGAGCACATGTGCCATAGATTCACCATCACTGCCTTAGACTCTTGAGCTTTCCTTTGCCTTTTCTAGATGATTTGAGACATTGGGGTTGGGTAGCATAGTACCAGAGGCACAGAGATTTCATAGATTTTCATAGTTTTTTTCTGGTTCTTTTGGCAAGATGAGGATAATAATTGCTGAGATATACCTTACAAAATCACACACAAGGTATTGGTGAGGATAATAGGTATAGTTTTTGGCGTGCAGTAGGCATTCAGTAGCCTATTCAGTTGCCTATTCAGGCATTCAGTAGCCTATTCAGTTGATCCCACTGTCTTTGCCCCATCAAAGCCTTTTCATGCCCTCTGATAGCCACATTTACAGCACTGTGGCAGACATGGCCAGTGCACATAGGTAGCCTAACAGCCTACATGGGTGTGACCTTTATGTGTCTTCTTAGCGGGATGCTGTGACGCATGATCTTGAGCTCTAGAGCTCTTTGCAGCTTCATTTCAGTGCTCTCCTTCTCTGCTCCAGTCTCTGCGGTGCTTGGGTATACTCTGTTCTCCCCGTAGGTTAGGCTGTTGCCCACTGGTAAATTGATTCTAGGAATTATGTTCAGCTGTTAGTCCTCAGATCTGGCCTATGAGGCATCTATTTGTCTGAGACCCAGAGAGAACCAGCCAGTAGGCAGCTTTTGGGAGTAGATTCACCTTAGAAAAGATGGGAGCTGTACTGAGCCAGGTGTTATCCTGGTGAGGGGTTGGTGCAGGGACACTTGGAGAGGTAGGAGTAGCCCCTTAGACTAACCTGACAGTTCTGGGGCCGGGGATGTGGCTCAGTGGCTCAGTGGCACAAAGCCTGCCTGGCAAGCACAGGGTTGTAAGTTTGATTCCCAGTACCAAAAAACAAAATAAACAAACAAACAAAAGAATAAACTGACAATTCTGAACTTTCAGTGACCTGTGTGTGATACATAGCTAACCAGTTGCCTTAATATCCATGAAATTGCTTTTAATAACTAAGGGATAAGCAGGGAGAGGAGCAAGCTCTCTGGGCTGGGCCCTCCTATAGGATGTCTGCATGGAAAGGTCCAGGGGAAAGGAAAACACAGGTAGACCTGCAGGACTGTGGTAAAACCTTCCCTTCCCAGGAATGAAAGAAAGCGAATAAATACAAAGGTACTTGTGCTTATTGTGGGCCAGACAATATGCTAAATGCTTAACAGATACTATTTAACTTCATAATAAACCTGTTCCCATGTGTTAAGATCACTATTTTATGACTAGCACACTGATAAAACTTACAATGGCTAACTCATCAGGCTCTGGATCATACAGTAGGGGGACTTGAAGACTTGAAGACTTCACCTATAGAGAAATTACATATGTGTGAAATTTGTGTGTCTCATGCACAATCTTCTTTACCTCAGGTACTGGGTCTCTTTAGCCCCTTTTGGAAAATTCCAGGGATGGCACAGTGATTCATATTTATCCACCTATGCATGTGTCAGTACAGGGTGTATGTGAACAGGTTTTTGCTACTGAGCAGCAAATGTATACGACAGTGGCCTTTTGCTTTCTAAGCCTGGGTGGGCTGCTACCTGCACATTTCCTGTGGGACATTTGTTCTGTCTTCCACCCAGAGGTAGAAGCCTGCTTTGCACACTTAGGCAGAAGTGTGTGTGCTTAATGGCTACATTGGGGACTCCCTGAGTTTCTGAAGCAGCTGGAATTGGGTGTCTGGTGTGTTAGTGGAAACATCAGGAGATCTGTTGAGAGGAAGCCTCTGAGGGGTTAAGATCTCGATTGGGAGTTAGCAGACTTGTGTTCTAGCATTGATTCTTCCCTGAGTGAATTTAGGTAAGCCCCCTTCCTCTCTTGGTTCTTGCTTTCCCCATATGTACACTCAGATGACTTAGTATTTTTTATAGATCTAAGTCTTTTCCATCTATAATTCTACTTAGTGGAAGTGATCACTATTTAAATATGTAATAACTTTGGCCTCTGCAGTTTCTCAATTTGTTTTCTTTTACTAATAATAATAAATGTTAACTATAATAATAATTGTTAGTGGTTCTGGGAATTGAATCTGGGCCTTTCATGCTAAACCACTTCCCAGCCCTTCTTTATTTTTATTTTTTGAGACAGGGTCTCACTAAGTTGCTAAGTTGCTCAGACTGGGCTCAAACTTGAGATTTTTCTGCCCTAGTCTGTGAGACTCCTGAGATTACAGGTATATGCCACCATGCCTGGCAGTTTCTTAGTTTCTTAGTCAAGGTCACTACTCCCTAGCTGCTAGTTCTCCTTTGGCAGACCTGGGAATGTTAGTTAATTTAGAAGTTCTGGGCCTTAACACTACTTCAGCCTTGCTCTGACTCTTTGACCTGGCCTGTACTCTGCCTTGGTTCTTATTCGCAAGTCAGCTGAGTGTAGGGCTTACTGTGATGTCTTTGCTGCTTAGTGCCTAGACCTCAGCAGGGTGCCCCTGTTCTCTGTTCAATACCTGGTGTTTCCAGGACCAGATCCTTGCCTGGTCTTCTTGTTTAGCTGTGCTTCTAGTTTCCATGGTTGTGCCCTTATTGCGTGGGATGAACCTTGGTGACATTGCTTTGTCCACATTGTCTCCACTGTTTTTTTGTGTGCGCACTATCCCACCTTTTCTGTTGTCCTTGGTCTCTGACATTTATCTCTTTCTTGACTCTGAGGTCTTGCTCTTTCAATATTCAACTCCATAAACATTGGTTAATATCTGCTGTGGGCCGGTGTTGGCCACAGGGGTGGTAGGTGGGAAGGTGGATACAGTCTTTAACCTCAAAGAACTCCCAGCTATATAAGGAAATAAGATACTGCACAGAGTGAAAACAGCAGTAAGTCTGATAAGACGTAGGTACAAAATGCCCAGGGAGCAGTGGAGATGGAAGGACTAATTCTGAAGACACTAACAAAAAAGAAGTGGTACTTGAACTGAGTTTTTAAAAATGAGGACTGTAGCAAAGGTAGAAAGGCATTCCATGCCAAGGGATAAGATGATTGGAAACCATGCTTCTAGGTCTGCTTTTAGCTCCTGATGCAGTCAGGATGCGCACGCATTCCAGTGAGTGAGCCTCCTTTTGCTGTGTGGCTGCCCTGCCTGTCTCACTGGTCCCATCACCTAGTGTGGGAGCAAAGGAGAGCAACTTTCACATAGGTTGTCTCGTTTGACACCAGCACGATGCTGTGAAATAGGTCAGAAGAG